AGTCATGAGCATCATTAGACAATGCTCTATTGTGAGCAGTCATGAGGGCATACGTTCATTTACTATACTGTACGTGTATGTTATGCAAACAATACTATCAATCTCATGCATGCTGTATGGGCATGAGCATCATTAGACAATGCTCTATTGAGAGGAGTCATGAGGGCAATCTACATTCTATGTATATATTGCAATATGTAAGAATGCTCCCTTTCTTTGTTGATATAATAGAATATACATTTAAATAAGAAATGAGATCTAGTGAATGCCAATAATCAAGTTTGATTATCCTATTCACAGCGTTACATGTTTATATCCTTCACCCAAATCTGCATCCAGTGGCATGATATTCATAACCTGCAAGTTATGTTGGTTAACTGGATAACACGTGATAAATGAAATTACAATTCTATAACATGACTTTAGTTTTGACCATACTAACGTTGCGTCATCCTCTCAATTATGAACAGGCTACTTTTACCATGACTATTATTAGTGCAGCAAATATGAGCTTGTTTTCCCAACATTATAGTAGTAAACGTACTGTTTGACAACAAGTAATACAAATCATACATAGTGCATTAGGCCTTTTGTCTTGTCTCTCTTGAGAACAATAAGTGAATCAGAGGAACATGTTTCCTTCCTCTTTCCTCCTCTTACTGTATAAAAGTAATGAGACCATTTCCAGTAGAGAGGACTGGTGAGGAATAAACCTTTCCAGTGTAAAAGAGACAAGATGTATACAATGTCAGCTATTGATCCGGCACTTCTCATTCTGGTCAATATATATGCTGATCTAAACGGTGACAGGCAAGAGACAAAAGTCTATAATAATGGTGTGATGCAGGTCAGTGTATTCGTTTCGGTCAACTACAATGGAGATGCAAGTGAAGAGGATATAATAGCATACGTGCAAGATAATGCCATCATATATTCGTTGAATTATGGAGAAAACGTTAAATGGCAAATATCTACAAAGGATAACGGTTTTCATCACGATATAGATCATGCTGCTAACAAAAACGTAACACTACCTCCTAAAATTACTTCAGACGTAAGAGCTCCGTTATATTTCACGGTACCAGGTGGTACTGCTGAAGGAGAGCACAGGTGGATCGCTAAGCTGAATGGCAAGCAAACCAATGATGATACACCACTTACTATTACCGTTAAAGGATTCCATGTTTCTCATGGTGACGTAGTAATTAAACCAGTAGAAGGTGTAGTACAAGCTCCTTGTAATGTGTTGTTTGTGCTGAAGTATGAGGAACATGTGTTCCCAGATGTACAGAAATTAGTAAAATTACGCTGGTACAAAGGAATAAAGTTCATTGGAGCAGATGGTAATTCCTGGGTCTCAATGTCAAAGTCTTCTGAAGGACACAAGTTCGGTGTTTTCGTTGAATATGGAGTAACAAGTAGGATAAGAGTAGCCGATGGGTATACATACT